GGAAACAGATCTGCAGCAAAGGCTGGTGTGTGCAGATTTCTGGAGAGAGTGAACCCAATCTAGGGTTAAGAGAGGGAAACAGTGTGGGCTGGGGAAGCTAACACAAGATGTGCTAGGAAATGAGCCATCTCCATGAGCAGTGGATGCTGGTCCTCCAAGGGTGAACCTCCAAATGTGATTCCTCACACAGTGCTTCCTGAAACGGTCCACTTGAAGGTGTTAAGGAGGACTTGCACTTCCACCAGCCCTCTTCTCGCTTGTTCCCTTCCTGCATGCAATTCCAGCTGCAAATGATATGTCTCTTAACTTTGAACTGGGGACAGTAAGAGGGAGAGATGTGGTGTGCACCTAGGCAAAGAAAACTCCATCTAGTCGGCCTGGGACAATCTGCCCCAGGTCCAGCAGAATTGGTAGAGGTAGAAGCAACTGGAGTCAAGAGGATGAGCAGACAGGAAGTTGTCCCAGAGCAGGAGGGTGTTTGTCCCGTGGGCCATCTGCACAGCATGAATGCAGGGCAGTGATTCCACCAGCACCTCCCTGGAGGCATCTAGTTTTGTTGTTGCTATTGTTATTTTTAAGACAGAATCTCATGTAGCTCAGGTTGTAAATTTGCTGAGTAGCTGGGGCTGTCTTTGAACCCTGATCTTCCGTCCTCTACCTTGTAAGTGTACCCCCACCTCTGGGGGCATTGGGCACTGTCCTCTTGACTATACACCCTCAGAAATAACTATGCCTTTGGAGGGGACAGATGGCCTGGAGCAGATGGGAAAGTTTTTCATTTCATGTAACCATCTAGAGACTCAGGCCCATCTAGGGGAGCAGCGAGAACCATTAAGGATTTAATAATGTAATTATAACAAGGCTACACAGTGTAGACAGCAGAGAGGCACTCTGCTGCCTCAACAGTATGTTCCAGGTCTCACAGAGGGCCACTCTTTCAAATGAAGGGGGGTGTTGAAAATGCAGAGCCAAAAGACTGATAATTATTTGAAACAAGCTTAAACATTCCGATTGCTCCAACTGCCTTAAATCACTCTGCCATATTTATACTTGACTAGTGTTCCACATAACAAGTTCCAAATCAAAGACTTTTGAAAATTTTCAATCACTGTGTTTTGAAGTGATTGAGAGCTCGGGGCGTGAGCAGTGTAGAAATAAGGCGTATTAACATTATTAGCGCGACAAATTTCCTGAAGTAGTTCCATTAAGAAATGATCAAGGCCTTAGCCTCTACAAAGGAGAGGAGCCGCATGTGGTTCACGCACTTGGGTCTGGAAGGATTCTTAACTCTTTTGATGCTGAGAGGAGAGTGGACATTGGAAAGTGGATGGTTCCAAATGGATGATGTCATGGTCTCATTTCTGGTTGCTGTGATTAAAATACTCTGATGAGAGCAACTTAAGGGAAGACAGGTTTATTCTGACTTACCGGTCAAGGGTATGGTTCATCATGGCAGGAAAGTCAAAGAGCACTGGAGCGTGAAGCAGCTGGTCACATCTCATCTGGAATCAGGAACAGATATTGGTGGACGTGCTGCTGCTCAGCTCCCCTTCTGCATGCGTACAGCCCAAGACGTCAGCCAGGGAATAGTAAGTACCACCCGCATTAGGCACCTCAGTTAAAGCAGCCAAGCTAATCTCTATGCCCAGAGGATCAGCCCCCAGGTAACTGATTACAGAGCTGTCAAACTGCTAATTGACACTAACCATTACAGATGGTGTCAAGAAGAGATCTTCTGTCATAGCAGGACATTGTCTGGGAAGAAGCTGCGGTCAGGGGAGAAGAAAGGAAGGAAACCATAGTTACAAGTTTCATATAGGACCCACTGAAGACCAGGTGCTCTCCTAAATGCTTTATAGTCAGTAACAATGTGTACTTGCTCAACTCATAACTAACCAATCCCCCATGGAAAATCTTATCATGATCTTCCTTCTGATGCTTACTCTTGGTGAGATTTAGGAGTTTCTCAGGAGACACATCTCTGGGTGTGTCTCCGAGGGTCTTTCCAGAGAGGTTTGACTAAGGACGGAAGACCCACCCTGAATGTGGGAGGCGCCATTCTATTGTCCGGGGACCAGAACCGAACTGGAAAGGCAAACAAGTGGAGCACCAGAATTCACCAGGACAGTCGCCTCGCACTCCCACCGCCGAGCCTTCCTTGTCACGATAGACTGTACCTACCCTCACGTCATGCACCAAAATAAACCCTTCCTTCCTTAAACTGCTTTTGCAGGTGTTTGTCACACAGTGAGAAAGTAACTAATACAGTCCTATATTTAGCTAACGAAGTCTAGCTAGAAACCAAACTCGCCTCACATGTCCTGCTTTTGCGAATGGGAAGGAAAAGTCTTATTTCTACTTCTGTAACGTGCCAGAGACATTTTCCTTTTAAATCTTCTGAGACCCTTCTAAGACTTTGCCTCCCATTCAATACCTAGGAGGATAGAGGTTGAAACAGACTGGTCATATGCACATAGCTTGTGAGAGGCAAATGCAGGGTTTTATTCAGTTCAGCTCTGTCTTTCTGGCCCACTGATTCCCATTTTAGACCTTTGTTTTGGGATGATAAATTCTTGATATGCGCAAAGAAATAAGTGATCATAACGTGAACAGGCTGAAGTTAAAAACACCTTTGTTTCCAATCTGAATGGACTGGACCACTGAAACGGTATTCCAGAGGGAGCCAGTTACAAAAACAGATTTAAGACTGGGGTCCACGAGGAATCAGCAGGATTGGGGGTCACACAGAGGTGTGGCTACTTCCTGTTTTTGTTTGCTTGGTTTTGAGACAGGGTCTCCTCATAGCGCGAGCTAGCCAGGAACTTGCTATGTGGTCCAGCCTGGCCTTGATCTCACAGAGATCTGCCTGCCTCTGCCTCCCGAGTGTTGGGTCAAAAGCGTGAAACACCAAGCTTGCCACCAATCTACTTCTGAACAGGAAGGAGGAATTTCTTTTTGTTTCTTTTTTTAAGTGTGTGTGTACACACGTGTGCATGGGTGTGTGGGGCCAGAGATCAACGCCAGGTGTCTTCAGTGATTCTTCACATTAGTTTTTGAGGCAGAATCTCTCACTGAATCCGGAGCTCACTGATTTAACGAGACTGGCTGGCCAACAAGCCTCAAAGATCCTCCTGTCTCCACCTCCCACTGCTAGGATTACAGGTGCACATCATCACATCTGTTTTGTCTTTTATGTGGGACCCTCATGCTTGCATGGCAAGCATTTTACCCACAGCCATCTCCCCAGATCACAAGTAAAACTTTCTGAGTTTCATTTGGAAATGAGGTAATGATGATTTCCTTGCAGACTGATAGCAGGACACATGGACATAACCCTGTATACAACATATATATGACGCATGTATATAATACAGCAAACAAGTGTATAACACCCCCTTACACTGCCCAGCCCATGCCAGGTGTTGAGTAAACATCAGATCCCAGAAAATGACTACAGCATGGACACTCCTACCGATGATATTAATTACCCTAATTATTTAGGGTAGGCTGTCCCACAGGTCTATTCCACTGGGAAGTTTGGAGGGGTCAGGGATGAATCTGGGAGGAGTTGGAGAGAGGAATTGAGGAGGTTGAATGTGATCAAAATACATCGTATGCATATGTGGTGGTTTCAATGGGAAATGTCCCTCATCGGCTCAAACCTTTGAGCATTTGGGTCCTAGTTGGTGGCACTGTTTGGGGGAGGTCATGGACCCTTTAAGAAGAGTGGCCTTGCTGCAGTGGGGGTGAACTTTGGGAGTTCATAGTCTTCCAGTTTCCAGTTAATTCTGTGTTCCTGGTTCAAGATGCAGACTGTTTCCTGCCCCCTGCTGCCTTGCCTGCTGCTCGCTGTGGGGCCTCATCCCTCTAGAACTATAAACCAGAGCAAACTCTTCCATAAGCTACTTTGGTCATGATTTTTGATCATAACAACAGAAAAATAACTAAAAATGTGTATATGAAGTTCTCAAAGGATTAGTAATAATATTTTAATGACAAAACTTGCATTAGATGACTTCAACTTCTCTTCTGACTTCTGCGTTCTGGAATCTCTGTTAAGTTTAGGGACAGAAAGAAGGAAAATGAAGTAGTAGACAGACCATGCTACCACAGTGTCTTGTTTTTATATTTTGTTATTTTTATCTTATGTGTATATGTGTATTGCTTGCATGTAGGTAAGTGCACCTGTGTCATGCAATGCCCTTGAAGGGCAGAAGAGACTGTCTTTTTTAGGTGGTTTCTGGGGGCTCAAACTCAGGTCTTCATGCTCACATGATAAGCACTTAACCCACAGTTATTCAGCAAAGCCTAAGTGCCAGCCAGTGTCCCAGCACTGTTCTAACCTCCACCACACATTCCTGGGCAGTTGCTTCACACTCCTGCCGTGCCTTCCCTGTTATGATAGACTGTACCTACCCTCATACTCATAGGAGGGAGAAAAGATAAAGTGACTGGAGTTGTCTGTAATCATGAAGCTTGCAGTCAGCAGGTCTGAAGCTCCAATTCCTAGTCTAGGCCCAGAGCCTGTAAATGTAGCTGTATTTTAAACCCAGGCAAGTCTTCTGATGAGAACTACGCTGCACAGACCATGGGCTTCAAGAAGGAATCCACCCAGCCTGACTGAGCTTCCCGGCAGTGATGCTGGGCCCTCATTGGAAAGAATCTCAAAGGGAAGCCATGGGTGTCAGGGTATCTGTGGGAGGCTTTCTGAGAATCCTCATTGGTAAGCTGGGTGGTGATGGAGGTCAACTGCACTGCCCACAAAGAAGACCATGTCCAGGCCGTTTCCTGTGAGTTTGTGGCATGCCCTTTGACCTGTTCATGTGCCCTTAGTTTCTAGCTGTATGCTCTAGCACACTCATGTTTCTGGCGCACTGCTCCATCAGGCACGTTAAAGGCAGAGACAGTATCTTGTCCTGACTTAGCAATTAACAGCAGGGAGGGAACATATGCTGCACAGACCTTTGTTAAGTAAGTGACTGTTTGTTCTTCATTTTCAGATGTTTATTGGACACTTGTCAGCTAACTTACACTGCTCAGAGCCTGTTGATATATCAGTGGTTAAAATGGATGAATCCCCTGTGACTGCAGTAAGGTAACAGATAATTCATTAAGTTGATGAGTGCTTTTAGGGGCATAGACAGCTGGAAGGTTTAAATGAGAGGGCCTTAAAAGAATAAAACCTCAACATCGGCCAGGGGCACCCATGGGTCATGAACATTCCATCATGTCGTCAGTCTGCAGATCTAATGTCTAGGACTTCCCCAGATAAGTGGGTTTTGCCAGCTTCCCCAGGGTGGATAGTCCCTCACTGTAGCACTGTCTGCCAGCACACTCTGAGAGCACTGCCACATAACCATCCTCCCCATACCACAATGGCAAGTCCAATTATCATTGGACTTGAGTCTCCTGATGGAAGCAACTCTGTGGTGATGTGCTTCCTCCAGTAAGTCTGTACCACCTAAACCACCCCACACCATACCACCAACGGGGAACAAAGTGTTCAACTACTTGGAGTCTACAGGAGACATTCTCATTCAAACCACCACAGGCTATATCCACGGTCTCAAACTACATTCTTCAGTTACTGTAACTCTCAAATGTCTCAGCTCTCTGCTGTCCTACCCAGTCTCCCATCCTCACTGCTCCCAAGGCATCTTTACAACCCTGACCTCCTATCAGCATCAACCACTACCAAACCACCCTGTCCATTAGCATCACTCTGTCAGTGTACCTGCCCTGAAGGACCCCGTACAGCAAAGAAAGAATGGGTCAGTAGGGGGAACACCGACATTCTGGGCTCCATAACTCTACTCCTGGGTGTGATCTATTGTTGAACCACCCACTAACAAGCACCACAGCTTGGAGAGAAGAAACAAAGCCAGACATGGTGGCTTGTACTTATAATTGCAATGCTGGGGACAAACAGATTCCTGGGGCTCACTGGCCAGGCAGCCTAGCCTACTTGGTGAACCCCAGGCCAGAGATACACCCTGCCTCAAAAAAACAAGGTGGACAGTGCCTGAAAAACAATGCCTGAGCTTAATTTCTGGCCTCCACATGTATGTGTATATAGATGCATTCTCTCCTCTCTCTCTCTCTCTCTCTCTCTCTCTCTCTCTCTCTCTCAGCCCGTGAGCCTTTATCTGAGTCTCAAAACGTAGGTGGTTATGCAGCATCATCTTTTCCTCTTCTTCTGGCATTTCTAAGAAAACCTGGCTGTTCAAGGGGCCACGCTCAATGCGCGGGAGGAACGTTCCCATGAGGACAACCCAAGGACATGTGAAGACTCCTCTGCATCTCCCCCACTGGTCACAGCTTCATCCTTCTTCTCAGTCCAGCCTGCTCCTTGGCATGCTTCCTGGGTTGACTTCTGTCGAAGTTGGATGACTGTTGGGGTATTGGATTCTGATAGCCCTGGATGCAGCCCAGCGCCTGCACTGCTGTCCATGTTTGATCTCCAGCTCAATTTTCTGGAAGAAGTTGGCTGAACTAAGGATCAAAGATTCTGTTGCTTGCTTCCTATTCTCCCCCATGACAGCCGCTGTGCTAGGAGTTTAGCACAGCAACAGATTAACTCCTCAACCGATCATCTGATCAGAGTTTCTCACACTCTTGCGGAAAGTGAACATGACTGGACACAAGGTTCATAGGATTTTTACTTCATCTTCAGTGGACCTACAGGTAAAAACAAAGCTGCTTCTGTTCACACCCACAGACCTCCTGCGGGAACTGTATATTCCTGCCATTTCCAAGTGATTTTGCTTGTTACATAAAATTCTAGTAGGGAGTTTCCCACAAACACAAAGAGCTTGGAACTTTAAATGCAAAAAACATTCGAACTTCTTAACTTCCGAAGCGATGAGACTAGAAACAAGAATCTTCAGCAGTTATGAGCTCTTCAGAACACAGGTGTATTACCCTACAAGAACATGTAGATGATGAGATCCTTATTGTCTGATAATAAGATTTAATTAGTATTATGCTAATGAAATGTGCTGCCTCTCCCCACCTCTCCCCACCTCTCCTCTCCAGTTTCCTAAGGGAGGCCATCATGCAGGAAAGACTCAATTGTCATCTTCCTAATATGTATCCGCCACCACCAGCATGTCTTTTGAGCCAGCATTTTATTTAACCTTGAGCTTTTTGGTCCTTAACATGTTTACAGCTCACCTGTGATTCTTGTTAAAATGTTATCTGCTGATTCAGTAGGTTTAGGATGGGGCCTCGGATTCTGTATTTCTGACCAGGAATGTGGTGCTAAGGCTACTGGCCTTGAGAATGCACTTGAAGTAGAGAGAAGCTCTGGAGGACCCAAAGAATTTTCTTTTGTATACCAGGAGAATTTCCGATAGATTTTTAGCATCCGTGTAAATGGAAGAATTGCTCTATAATGGATCAAAATGAAACTCTGCTGGTTGAATGAGGACACAGAGCAGGAACCCTTGGTAGAGCCAAATACACCCTTCTCCGTTGCTTCCTCACTCTAGACTTACTCCATGAGGAGGACAACCACGGGCCATCATCATGGTACCATTGCAAATAGAGACCACGCAGCTTGAAACCCAGGGTATGCCTCTCATATTCTGTGAAGGAGAAATGTAGAGAGGTGCCATCTGTATTTTAAAGGAGGTTAGCACCATAGACCCTGAGGTGACTAGTTATCTTCTGTGTCAAACTGGCTAGGCCAGGGTACCCAGAGAGTTGGTCAAACATCAGTCTTGATGGTCCTGTGAAGGCAATTTATATATATATATATATATATATATATATGGAGAGAGAGAGGAAGATAGGTAGATAGATAGAATTTTTTAATGTATTTCATACAGAACATCTCAAACAATCTTAATCATCTTTATACCCCTGTCCCCACTGGCACCCTCCCATAGCCCCCCCCCCACTGGAGCTCATATACTCTGTCATCCCTGTTAAGGCCCACTGGGTTGTCAGTGTCCCAGTCGTTCCCCCATGCAAGTCCACCCACTGAGTCTAGTCAGCCTGTTTTAGGAAGGCCAACTCTTCATCTAGCAGCAATCAGTTGCCAACATTCCTTCAGATAAGATTGAGGTCTGCTATTCATTTTCCCAGTTCTATGCTGGGTTACTGTCTGCCTGAGTTTGCATGGGACTTGTGTGTGCTGACACCATTACCACAGAATCATATGAGCAGGGTCCTAGAAATTTGTAGGAATGTTTCCATATGGTCATTCGCCTCCTCCCTGGCTCTTATAATCTTTCTGCCCCCTCTTCTATGATGGTCCCTGAGCCTTGGGTGGGTGAAGTTTAATAAAGGGGTCCTGTCCAAGGACCAGCATTCAGCAGACTCTTGATCTCTCCATTTTGGACATTTGTGAGTTTCTGTTTGAGGACATTCCGGCCCTCTGCTACATGAGGGAGCTTCATTATTGAGAACTGAGAGGTTCATTAGTGCCCTCTTCTTTATCCCTGTTCTATGCTCCATGAACCTTAGGTTTAGAGGTTGCATTGCTGATGTGTCACTTAGGCCTGGGTAATTCATAGACAATGTCCATGTGTGACCAGTTGTGGTACTTGGTAATAGTCTCTGACTGGTGCAAAATGAGCTTCTTTGATGAGTGTTGACTGGGATATTTGTCTGTAAATATAATGATACATATTTTGCACTTAGTAAGAAATCACATTAGTCTAGTGATGTGACAGTCTTGGGGTTCTCTCCAAGATCTACGGTCACTCTAGCCATGTATAGTGGGTTATATTTCCAGTGCCACACTTGAGTTTCCTCCCATTCAGTGGACATTTAATCAAATTAGGTAGCTGTTGATTGCCCCCAAGATGAAAGCGCCACTACTGCACCAATGTCGTATGCTGTTCTGGCCATTGATGTGGTTATTTGGCCTTGAAGCTGGTGCTGGACCATCACTGATGTTCATAGCGCGCTCCAAAGCTGAGAGCTAGTCTCTGTGAAGGCAGTTTTAAAGATGAGACTAGCATTTAAATCAAAAGAATTTAAAGATCCCACATAAAGATTAAATGGGCCTTTTACAGTCAGGTGAAGGCCATAAGAGACAATGGACTAGGTTCCTTAAGGAAGAAGGAACTCTGCCTCCAGGCTGCCTGGATTCAAAACTGCAATATCAGCTCTTCTTTGGGTCTCTGGCCTGCTGGCTACCTTGAAGATTCCAGACTTGCTGAACCCCACAATAACCTGAGCCAATTAATTGAAACGTCTCTTGCCACCTCTCCTATGAATTTGTCTCCCCAGAGAATCTTGAGTAACATGGCACCTTCAATCATAAGGGAGTTTGTTGAAACAAAATCCTCGCTTCTAGCTTCAATTACAGGAACCATTTGATCTGGAAATATTAATAAATGACTTGTGATCTGTGATCCTAGGTATGATGGCTTATATCTCTGGATCCCACAGCAGGACCTCTGCATCTCTTCTTTCGTGATAGTGGAACTTGGAGCTACCGTAGGCCTAGTTGTGGGGCATTTGGGTTGTTTTCTGTGCTTTACTGTTAATTAACATCTTTGTACTTCTTTTCCTAACAGAGCAGTATCATCTTCCTTTAAAGATAAAATTCTGACCTATATCAACACTTCCTAAATCTTGAAGAATCTTAGGGTTTGTTGGGAAAAGTTCTCTCTCACCCAGCAGACTTGGGAAATACTGTGTGCATTATCACTCACTTAGAGAGTAACTTGAGCATTCCTCAAAGGACCCTGAGAGGGCTTTCAGAACAAACAAACAAACAAACAAAAACAAAATGGCCCATTTAATTGCGCCCTTGCCTCTGAATTAATTTGTAAATAAATGGTAATATCTATTAAGCCTAACGGAGATGTATTTTTAGAACTGTAATATGGGACGGTTACCATGGTCCTCTTCAGCCCTTAGATTATTTATTCTTCTCATAGAATATAGAGGTTCAAAGACAAAAGGAATGTAAGAACCAGAGGATGGGCAGGCATGCTATGGAATACTCTTCTGACATGACGTGGCCGATGCATTCATGGACTCACTATAGCTGTGGTTACCTGCATAAGGCGTGCTCAAACTTGAACCAGACAACTTTCCATCATGGATGGGGAGGGCTCATCAGACCCCACTGCTGGCTGAGGAGCTATATTGGCAGTTAAGGGCTTCTGAGGAAGGGAAAGGCATTTTATTCTGTGGTGGGGCTGTAAGTTGCCCATACTTCTGTGAATGGCCCCAGACCCAAGTAAGCGACTTTACTAAATTGAGCGTGTGTACGTGTGGGTGGGTATGGAAGTGGAGGGGGCACTTGTTGGAAAGAAGGGAATTAGATGAAATAGGAGGAGGAGGAAAGATAATGGGAGAATATTACACATATGTATGGAATTGTCAAAAAAATTAAAAATACTTTTAAAAACAGTTAAAGATAGATACCAAGAGGAAAAAAAAATGGTCAAACTTTTCCACAATATTTGAAGTATATTCTGATTTTTACATATTTAAAATAGAGTATTAGTAGAACTTAGCACATTGGGTTATTCTAAGGATAAAGTTAAATAACCTACACAAAGCACTTAGACACAGCCTAGCACCTAGTGGGGAGCCAATATTTTATTTAACCTTGCGCCAGTGATGGTCGTGTCGGAAGAGCTCAGTTCTGAGAAGAACACACAGGCATTCTATCCTGTAAACCAAACCCAAATCGTTTTCTGCTTGAATTATTTCATCTTGGGTGAAGGGCAATTCCAGGCATTTGAAAACTCCTGTCATAGCTCTGGCAAGCCTGGAACATTCTGGAGCCAAGATACTAATGATTTAAGTGTTAATAAATCCAGAGGTAGGTCATTCAATTTTCTTTTAAATGCAGATCATAAAAAGGGAGGGATATTTGGGTCAAGATACTGAAAATTTCACGGAACCTGAAGACTTTGGAACACTTTTGTAGCAACTGATCTAGCACTGTACTGAACTTTCCTGTCCTGGCCCTTGGAGGGAGACAGAGTTGAACCTGGCACAAGGTACTCCAGAAGCCCTGTTATGTTTGCATAACAGTTTCAGCCAGTACAAGCACATCTAATCTCTCCTATACTGTTCAAACTCTAGCTGACTTAAGAAAGGCATATAAAACTGCCCATTTGGCAGATGTGCCGACTGAGGTCCAACAAGTTGGATAATTTGTTCAAATTCCAAAGTGAATGGGCCAGAACCCATCTACTCTAGAAATACCACCTCCTGACCCCTGGTACTAGACTCTGTCTACTGGATCTTGCCCCCCACAAGTGGTCCCTGATAGCAGTGACACAGGGTGGGCGGTAGCAGTCAGTGTGTGGGATACGCTGGATTGGTATGCAAGCTTGGTGGGCTCTGGCTAACCTCACAGGGAACCCTTCAATCTGAATAACAATCAACAAGATTTTAAAGAAATTTGGGCCAATTTCCTGGAAGTCTATGATTAATCTAATTGCTGGGTTTTCCTCTGTTTTTGTCTCCCACTGTTAATTTCATTTATTTTTCTCTTTCTTCCCCGACACAGACTGCCTTGTCTCTGCGTGCAGTTTTGTCACTGTTGTTATTTGTCCGCACATAGTTTGTCATTGGCGATGCATTCAATGGGATTGTTGTGCTCTCTCTGTTTGGGAATGAAAAATATTTCAGTAGACAACATATTATGGCAGGAAGGGAGAATACTGGGCAGAATTTCAGAGACCCTTTTCCAAGCCCAGCTCTGCGGATACCTGCTAAGCCTCTCTGGTTCCTCAACTTCCTCAGAATTAAAGAGTCCTTCCTGCTTCTCCTGATTTCTCTCTCTATTAAAGAGTAGCTGAGATTATATGAGAAAACTTCAGGCCAAAAAAGTATGGGATTTGTGGCCTGTACTGTTAAGTGTTGTAAATAAAGAAATTGAAAACTCGATTTGGATCAAATATAATGGAAAACCCTTCCTTTCCAGATAGGAATTCAGTTTTTTAGAGACTGCATCAAAGGGCATCAAACAGAATTTTCTCAGAACCAATGGCATTTCACACTTTTTCTTTGCCAAAAGGCCATGAAGTGATGGGTAAAGACATCCCGTCCGTAGCCCTTGTCCAGATCTCTTGAGGAGCTCTCTCTGTCAGCCAGACACTCCAGCCCCTGCTCTGAGCTGCCCTCACTGTTCCCAGTTGCTCTGCTTTGCCATGCAGAAGGCATGGGGCAGTGTGGAGAGGTCCCCTTGTTGTTTCCTTGGGACTATCCTATATCCCACATCTCAGCAGCTCTGAGACGTGGAAGCAGGGGAGGCTGTGGTCCGACTTCTTCACTCCTCACCTTGGGGTTTGTGCCTTCACCTTCAGATGCTCAGAGGTGAAGGTTCCCATGCGAATCTCCTTTAGCACGGGTGACATAGGGAACAGTCACAACAGGACCAGTGTGTGAAATCAGGAAGCCACCTGCCCATGTTTCTGTCCAGAAAGGGCCATGTGCCCATGGAGTTGAGGCTGTTGAGCAGATCAACCCTGTGTTGTGCTGAGTGCAGAAGACACTTCCCTTTTTGGAACTTATTATGGTCTGGCAGACCCCACAGAGAGCAAACAATTTATAAGCAGTCACTTTAAAGGGGGAGTGATGGGAAACAGAGGGTGATGACAGTGTCCACAGGCATGG